AAAAGATGCTTGATATGATTTTAATTTTCCTGGAATTTTTGAGACCTGTTTTGTGGCTCAATATGTGATCTGTCCTGGACAATGTTCCATATGCACTTGAGAAGAATGTGTATTCTACTACTTTTGGATGAAATGTTCTATGCATACCCATTAACTCCATCTAGTCTATTGTGCTATTTAAGGATGAAGTTTCCTCATTTATTTTTTTGTCTGGATGACCTATCCATTGATGAAAGTGGGGTATTAAAGACTATTATTACATTGCTTTCTATTTCTCTCTTTATATACTTGCTTTATATATTTTGATGCTCCTAGATTGCATACATATGTATTTATAAATGTTACATATACTTGCTAGATTGATATCTTTATAATTAGGTAATGCCCCTTTTTGTCTTTTATTACAGTCTGTTTTAAAGTCTATTTTGTATGATATGAGTACAGTTATTCCAGCTTTCTCATATTTATTTGAATGGAATATCTTTTTCCATCCCTTCACTTTCAGTCTGTGACTAGCTAAGAAAGAGAGAGTGGAATCAAAATCAGAAATGAAAGAGAAGTTACAACCAGTACTACAGAAATCCAAAGACTCATAGAGACTACTATGAACAATTATACATATGTTACATATACTTGCTAGATTGATATCTTTATAATTAGGTAATGCCCCTTTTTGTCTTTTATTACAGTCTGTTTTAAAGTCTATTTTGTATGATATGAGTACAGTTATTCCAGCTTTCTCATATTTATTTGAATGGAATATCTTTTTCCATCCCTTCACTTTCAGTCTGTGACTAGCTAAGAAAGAGAGAGTGGAATCAAAATCAGAAATGAAAGAGAAGTTACAACCAGTACTACAGAAATCCAAAGACTCATAGAGACTACTATGAACAATTATACATCAACAAGCTGGACAACCTAGAACAAATGGATAAATTCCTAGAAACATACAATCTTCCAAGACTGAATCATGAAGAAATAGAAAGTCTGAATAGACCAGTAAAAAGACTGAAACAGCAATCCAAACCCTTCCAACAAACAAAAGTTCAGGACCAGACAGCTTCACTGCCAAATTCTACCAAACATTCAAAGATGTTTAAACCTATCCTTCTCAAACACTTCCTAAAAATTTTAAGCAGAAAAGCTTCCAAATATATTTTACAAGGCCAGCATTGCCTTGGTACCAAAACCAGTAATGGGCATCACATACAAAAAAAAAAAAGAAAAGAAAATTGAGGCCAATATCCCTAATGAACACAGATGCAATAATTCTCAACAAAATATTAGCAAACCAAATTCAACAACACATTAAAAGCATTATACACCACAATCAAGTGGGATTTATTCAAGGGATGTGAGAATAATTCACCACCAGTAAATCAACATGATACATTACATTAACAAAATGAAAGATAATAATTATAATCATCTCAATAGATGCAGAAAAAGCATTTAAAAAAATTCAACATCCATTTATGATAAAAACTCTCAATGACATGGCCATAGAGGAATGTACCTCAACATAACAAAGGCCATGTATGATAATCCTACAGCTAACATCATACTCAATAGTAAAAAGTTGAAAATTTTCCTCTAAGAACAGGATGCCCACTCTCACCACTTTCTATTCTATATAGAACTAGAAGTTCTAGCCACAGCAATTGGGCAAGAAAAAGAAATAAAAGGCACCCAAACTGGGAAGGAAGAAGTCTGTCACTATTTGCAAATGACATGATACTATATACAGAAAACCCTAAAGTCTCCACCAAAAAAACTGTTACATCTAATAAATGAATTCAGTCAAGTTACAGGACATAAAATTAATGTACAGAAATCTGTGGAGTTTGTATACACTAATAACAAAATATCAGAAAGAGAAATTAAGAAAACAATCCTCTTCAATTACATCAAAGAGAATAAAAGGAATAAATTTAATCATGGTGAAAGACATGCACCCTGAAAACCATAAAACCTGATGAAAGAAATTGAAGATGACACAAATAAATAGAAAGCTATCCCATGCTCATAGATAGGAAGAATTAATATTGGTAAAATGTCCATACTAGCCAAAGCAATTTAGAGATTCAATACAATACCTATCAAAAAACCAATGGCATACTTCATAGAGATAGAACAAATAAGTCTAAACTTTGTATGGAACTACAAAAGATCCCAAAAAGCCAAAGCAATCTTGAGAAAGAAGAACAAAGTTGGAGATATAAAACTGTAGGTATCATACTTCCCGATTTCAAACTATACTACAAAGCTACAGTAATAAAAAATAGTATAGTTTTGGTACGAAATAGGCATACAGAAATCAATGGAATAGAACTGAGAGCCCAGAAGTAAACCCACACATATATGGACAGTCTACAATAAAGGAGCCAAGAACATTCAGAAAGGATTGAACCTATTAGAATGGTTCAATAACTGGTGTTAAGAAAATTGGACAGCTGTAGACAAAAGAATTAAACTAGATCACTATCTTATACCATGCACCAAAATTAACTCAAATTAAAGAGTTTAATATAAGCCCTGAAACCATAGAAATTTCTAGAAGAAAACAGGTGTTAAGCTCCTTGACATCAATCATTGACATCTTTGTGGATCTCACTCCAAGGCAAAGGAAAGAAAAACAAAAATAAATGAGACTACATCAAACTAAAAAGCTTCTAAATAGCAAATGAAACCATCATCAAAACAAAAAGGCAACCTACTAAATGGGAGAAGTTTGCAAACTTTATGTCTGATAAGGGGTTAACATCCAAAATATTTAAAGAACTCATACAACTCAAGAATACAACCTGATTTTTAAAAATGGGTAGAAATAGACATTTCTCCAAAGAAGATACACAGATGGCAACAGCACATGGAAAAACTGTCAACATTACTAATTATTAGGAAAATGCAAGTCAAAATCACTATCACCTCACACCTATTAGAATGGTTGTGGGTTGTAAAACTGCAGTATTTCCAGAATCACTAGTATGGCCTTAGTGCATTTCCATATCAATAGGTGTTTCCAAGGGGTGGAGAGAAGTAGTCCATCTCCACATCAATAGATGATTACAAAAGGGGCAGAAGGCAAGTGGGCACCTGGACTGGAGAGGTATTTTGGGGGTCCTTTTGCAGCCAGGTCACAAAAGACACAGGCAAACAGAAGTAGATGACTGCTTGTAGGCAATAAACTAGTTTCTCCCACTTTATTTCTCCCTTTGATTGATTCAGGCTTCAAAGGTTATTTGCCCCCCATGAGGAATATATTCCCCACCCCACCCCCCAGCCCCCACATCCCCCACCAGAGTTACAATGGTTATCATAAAAAAGACAAGAAATAACAAGTGTTGGTAATGATGTGGAGAAAAGGAACTCTCCTACGCTGTCAATGGGATTGTAAATCAGTGCAGCCCTTACGGAAAACAGTATGGAGGTTTCTTAAACAAGATTATAACTACCATATGAACAGCTATTCCACTTCTCGGTACTTATCCAAAGAATATGAAAGAATTGAAAGAATATGATTAAAAAAAGAATATGAAAACACTAATTCAAAAAGATATATGCACCTCTATGTTCACTGCAGCATTAGTTACAATAGCCAAGATTCAGAGACAACTTTAGCATCCATGGGTGGGTAGATGAATGGAAAAAGATGTAGCATAGTTATACAACGGAATACCACTCAGCCATAAAAAGGAAAGAAAAGCCTGCCATTGTGACAACGTGAATGGACCTTAAGAGTATGACACTAAGTGAAATCAGAGAAAGATAAATACTGTATGATTTCACTCATATGTGAAATCAAAACAAAGAAAAACAAAATAACAAACAAAAACCAATTCATAGATTTAGAGAACAGACTAGTGGTTACCCAGAAGGGAAGGAAATTGGGGCAGGGGTGAGAAATGGGGGAAGGGAGTCAACTGTATGGTGATGGATGGTAACTAGACTTGTAGTGGTGATCACACTGTAATCAGATACTGAATTATAAAGCTGTCCATATATATCTACCTACCTACCTACCTACCTACATACCTATCTATGAGTGAGGCACTCATGCCCAAGGTTACTAAGCCAAGGAAAAGGCGAGCTGGGAGTTAGGACGCCCAGGGGTCAGGATGTGGAGTTGTTCCAGGGCCCACCCTGTAGCTACCTAGTATTGTGACAAGGGTAAATCAGTTACCCCTGGCGGGCTTCAGTTTCCACAGACAGAAAAGGGAGTTAATAAGAGGGAGCTTGCACTCTCTAAAAGACCAAGCTGACTAATGTCAAGTACTTATTAGGACTGTTACAATTTTTTGTTGTTTAGTAGTGTAGTTATTATCTGTCAACATAGAATGATATTATGGAATTACCGAATGTATTCTCAATGCTCTTTCATCCCGGTGACAAGAATTTACATTACGATTAGGATTTGTGCCTTTTTATCCCCTTCACCTGTTTCACCCACCCAAGCCAACCCTCCCCCATGATAAGTACGAGTCACTTCTCGGTGTCTATGAGCCCAAGGACTGTTCCAATTTGGTGCTTGACGAATTGTTTGCCTTCTTTATCACCCCTCCCACACCACCTTTAAGGACAGAGGAAACAGTGTATCTTCTAAAGGAATTTGTAAAGAGTTCGTATGCAAATGGAAAAAAAAATTTTTTTTGGAAAAAGGTTAATTAAGATCTCTTCTTTCTCCACCCACTAACCTCCTTCCCTGGGATCCCACACCTTTTATAAACCTAGAAATTAAGGTGCCCACAGCTGACAAGCTCAAAACAGGTCAGACAAGCAGCTCCCAGTTGCCACCCCCTTACAGACCAGAGAAAAGTGCGTGGCGGGAGAAAGAAACCCGACAGGTGGGGAGAGACCTCCGGAGCTCCACCGTGAGACAAACTGTCCCGGGCCGGCTGGACCCGCGCCGGAGAACGGGCGCCCGAGCCGCGGCATCGCCCTCCCCGACCGGCGGTCCTCACGTCCCCGACAGCGCGGCCGGGTCGCCGGCGGCCGCTCACCTGCACTGGACACAGCAGCAGCAGGAGGAGGCCGAGGGCCGGGCCGTGCGCGCTCATGCTGCCACGGCACGGGGCTACGACGTCGGCGGGACTCGACTCTCAGGCCTCGGAGTCCCTGGCGGGCTCTGGACGCCGCGCGGAATGAGGGAGAGAAGGCGAAAGTGCCAGTGGCTGGCGGCGGGCTGTGGGCGCAGGTCCGGAAGGAAGAGGGCAACGCCGGCACCGCCCCTTGTGGGCGGGCTCAGGTCTGGGGCGGGGCTGGCGGCGCGGCACTCGGGACGGCGGCTTGGGACCGGGGATTCCAAAAGTTGGCTGCTGACCTTTTGAAATCCGGTCTGGGAATATTTCTGGATTTGTACTCAAAGTGTATGGTTTTAGTGCTTTAATTCTTTTCTCTTCTTTCTGTCTTTGCTGGGCTGGAGACCGTGGGCGAGGTGTCAGCAAATGGGAGTGCTCGGAGACTGCTTTCCCAACTAAGACCCCACTCCTCTGTGGAATATGTGTTTATCTCGGTCGCGATTAGCACCGCAAGTTCTTCCACACCAGTGACTCGAAGGGACCAGCCCGGACGCTTCAGCGAAGCCGGGGCGGGGCCGCGCGGTGGCCTGACAGTGTGGCGATCCGAGAGGCGAGGGGCGGGGCACGGTGGGCGGAGCCCCCGCGGCGGCCAATCTCGGGTTTCGTCCGCTCGCCTCGCTCGGGAGAGCGCTGGAGCTGCGCCACCTGCTGGAAGGAGACGGTCCGTCGCCTCCCAGGAGAAGTTTGACCCAGAGGAAGGACCAAAGTCCATTTTTAAGCTCCACGTGAACTCAGGCAACGCAAAGATAGAAAAGCATCTTCGTTTTTGAGACTTCCACTTGTTAATATCTCTTTTGGTCCTGCACTTATTTTCATCATATGTATTTTTGGTTAACATTTTCCCTTAGATTTCAATTACTGAGACCAGCCAAAAGCACCAGTCATTTCCATTTTAAAGTTAAGGAAGTGGAGGCAAGGATCTTTTCCCTACAGTGGAAGCCAATTGCAATGAAAAGACTAAATATCCAACTGTGGCAATGATCAACCCCAATCCAAGGGAAGACCGTGATGCAGGTGATATTCCAACCCCTACCCTCAAACAGCTGTTTGTGTCACTGTCCGGCTGTCCCCATCCCCACCTCCGCCGCCCCGCTCCCTCAGCCCTGAGGCGCCCACCTGGCTGACTGGGCACTGAAACTCTAGGGTTTTCCCCTGGACCTTCAGCCCTAGATCTTTCACACCGGCCTTCTGGCTCTCCTGGCCCTTGTCCAGCTGTGTGCTGTCTCTCCTGGTTGTCCGACTGAGATAAGGTAGTCGGTTTTATTTCTCCAGAACCCAGAGTGTTGTCGCTGAACCAGCAATATCAGCGACATGCAGGAACTTGTTAGAAATGCAGATTTTCAGGGTCCACCCTAGACCCACTGAATCAGAAAGTCTGGGGATGAGCCAGGCTCTTGGGGTTTTACCAAGCCCTCCAGGACCTTCCAGTGCACTCAAATTATAGAATGACTGCCGTAATTATTCCTTGGATCCTGGTAGGTTAGTCACCTTTCCAGTTTTAGCAAAGTCCTTTAGGGAGAAAAGCCAAAACCTTTACTAAATAATTAACTTGAGTAAAGGAAATTTCAAGAATCAAATGAGACATTTCTGGGAGGGAAATTTTGATGCCCATAAATTATGTTCCCTATTCACCAAAACAATAACAAAAACATCTCTTGGCCATTTTTTTTATGGTTCTGTCTTTCCAATAGCTTCAACAATGCCCCAAACCTTAGAAAATATTTTTAAATACACTATTTCTTAGAGAAATGCTTTTTGCTGATAACAAAGTAATCCATGCTTACAGTAGAAACTTAGAAAATATGCAAAAATTTAGAGGCAAAAATACAAAATCATTTATAATTCCACCATTATGGATAATCCATGTGACATTGTGCTTTATTTTCTCTTTCTGTGAAGATGGTTTTAACATGGTTGAGATCCAAAGACAGACTTTGTGTTTGTTTGTTTAAATAAAATTCAATACCACCATCATTATAAACACCATTCAACATTGACTGCATAATAAAGGACAAAACAACAGGGAAAATGAAATTATTAAATGTGCATCCTTGTAAATATGCAGAAATATTTTTCAAAAACTATGCATTTGAAGACATGAATATAATATGTGGATTTTTAAACACATGGGAACATACTGTACACAGTTTGCAGCTTGCTTTTTTACATTTAACAGTATGCTTTTCTGTCTTACTACTTTTATTAGCTCTATAGGATTTCATTATGTTTGTATAACATTTCTGGATGATGTAGGCCAGTCTCAGAGCAATGACTAAGTCAGTGATATATAGTTCACCACCAGGTATATTCAAAATAACTCGTCTCAAATTGCATTTCTGGTACATATGAGGGGTTTTTGTATGGTTCCAGTAATACTGCAAAAATTCACCTTTCCTCTTCCATGTACTTCCTCACATTCCTGAGCTTCTCTGGATTCCACAGTGTCCTCAGCTTTCTTCATGATACTGTGTCACAAAACTCTAAAAGCTATTGAACATTTACCTTAGGAAGGGAGATGGGAAAGTTGACCCAAGACAAAATTCTCTTTACTTAGCAGATGGAAGGGGAAGGCTAGAAATACTCATGCTAATAGTTTTTCATCCATAACATAATTTATTTAATCAATCTCCTGTTGGACATTTGTTTTTCACTTTTGTTACTGGAAACAATAACGTAATGAACACCCTTGTACCTAAATCTTTGTAATCATACACATATGAAACTGTTGGACAAACATATGAACTGATGGTTCAAAAAGATGTGCATTTTAATCTTCATTCTTGCCAAATTGCCCCCCCAAAGAGATTGTACACCTTTGCTAACAATATATGGAAGTGCCTGATTCTTACCTCCTTGCCAACATGAATCTTTGCTGTCTGATAGGTGAAAATGACATTTGTGATTTTACTTAATTTATTTCTTATAGTAAACAATTGTGATGCTTTAACTTGTATATTATTAATTGTGAGTGAGATTAAGAATCATTTTATACATTCATAAATGCCTTTTTCTGTTTTAATTTTCTATTAGATTTTCTTTTCCATATTGTTTTGCACAAGCTCTTTATTAAATGAACCTGTTGGTCTAGCATATGTGTTTCTGATACTTTTACTAATTTATTAGTTTCAGAGTTATAAAAATTATTCTGTATTTTCCTTTAGAATTTTAATGACTTCATGGGAAAATCCAATCCATTCAGAATTAGTTAGCTGTAAGGAGCGATATAAAGACCCAGCTCCCCTCTTCACCCAGAGCCTAGGTAATCACATGGACACCTGCTCTTGTTAAAATAATCATTGCTTTTTGTGTTGCCAAATCTAATGACAGCTCTTTTGCTCTCATCTCACTAGACTTTTTAGTAGCATTCAGAACAGATGATCACACTCCCATAAAACATGTCTTTCATTAACCCTCATTCCCCTGGGTTACCTCATTGACTAAGTATTGACTATATCTCATCTTCTAGGCTAGGAATGTGATTTGAGCAGTACATTCATGTCAATCAAATTTCATTACAACAAAATAACTTTGATGTCTTCTAATATGGAAGCTTTTTTTTTTTTCCTGTTGATGACTTGGAAACTTCAAAGTAGGCAGTAATTCAAGAAAAAAGAATGCCCAACTACTGCATGGATTGCAAGCTTGCCTAGTTTCTAACTTGAAACTGAAGTTGAACAATAGGAAATGAAGAAGAGCTGGGCTTTTGGGGGTGAAGTGTGTGTGTGGGGGGTGTCCTAAGATGCAACCAGCTGCACACTATACCTTCTGAGCCAGTTGCTGACTGGGCTTGTAGTTCTGTCTGCTGCTTACTATTTTTTTCCTGCTTTCCCCTCTTGTATTAGTCAGCTCAGGCTGCCATAACAAAAATACCACAGCCTGGGTAGCTTAATCACCAGAAATTTATATTTCATGGTCTGGAGACCAAAGAGTCCAAGATCAAGGTTCTGGACAGTTCATTGTCTGGCGAGGGCCCGCCTACCAGGTACAGCCACCTTCTCATTCTCACCGCGTGCTTGAGTGGCCTTTCCTTGGTGCGTGCGTGCGTGCGTGCGTGCGTGCGTGTGTGTGTGTGTGTGTGTGTGTGTGAGAGAGAGAGAGAGAGATGGAGAGAGAGAGAGAGAAGGAAAGAGGGGGAAGGGGGTAGGGGAAGAGGCGGCGAGGGGGAGATCTGTCTCACTTCCTCTTCATCTTTCTCTTCCTACAAAGCCACCAATGTTGTTGGATTAAGGCCACACCCTCATGATCTCACTTAACCTTAACTGCCTCCTACAAGCCCCATCTCTGAATTAGCTAACGTTGGGGGTTAGGGCTTCAAGATGTAAATCTGGGGGGACACAATTCAGTCCACAGCACCCTTCCTTCTGCTCAGGGTTTCATTATGACTTTTGTGGCCCTAGGTACCTTTGCCTTTGCGGGCCTCTTCCTCCTTCCAAAATGACGACTTACTATTGCATTGGTATAAAGACAAATATTATCCAGGCTGGCTTCATTATTATATATTCATTATTATCATAGTTTTATGTTTATTTTAAAAGAAATTAAAATGAGAACATTTTCATGGGATCTTAAAAGTATCAGAGGCCCCAGGCACCGTGTCTGCTGTGCCTAATGGGGAAGTCAACTCCATTTTTGCTGCTAATGTTAGACAACTCCCTGTAGTATTCACAGGCATTGGAAGCTTTGCTGACAGACTGCCCCGGACAAGGTTCAGGCCCAGCATCTGGACCTGGTTCTGAAAGAAGCACCTGTGGCTAGTAGGAGGCTGTCCAGGTGAACACAGGGAACAAGAGTAGGTGACCAGCTCATACCTCTCCTCCTCTGTCAGGCTACACATTGCCAGTACATCTTGGGAAAATTCACATGCCTGGAGTTAATGCTTCTGTCAAAACCCTCAGGAGTTTCAGGTTGAGCATTTTTGAGACCCTTTATTTGGTAATAAACATTTTTCTTTTTTACTTGTTTATCAAGATATAAAGTATGCAAAGCATGCATGTACATCCTGATGAGTTTTTACATATTCTACACTTTTATTACTTATCTATTACTATACAACCAATTACCCCCAAACTCAATGGATTAAAAGAACAACATTTATTCTGTTATATTTTCTGTCAGTCAGAGAT